CCTCTCAGCTACTGTAAAGCTCTGCAGTGAAAAACACAGCATAATGATATGTGTGTGAAAAGTATTTTCCCATTACAAGTTGCCTCTGTGAGCTCAATCCCAGACTAATCCCAGGGAAAATTCAGACAAACATGTTAACTGACCAGTGACGACAGAAGTGACTCACAATCTACTGCATGTACAGCAGCTGACACATAGTTTACACCTCCATGCTGCTTAAATCCACATAATGCGCTGTAAAACTAAATTGCAAAACAGGATGTCTCAAGTCTGCCAACCACATAATCTCATTTGGAGGGAGAAATTACATTTGAACCAAGGTGGTACCATCTGTGCACTAAAATAGCCTCTCTTACACCCTTCAGCGTTTGAAACTCCTGCTGATTTAAATTTATCCACAGTCCTTCACGGGCAATTACATGATACTCTCAAAGCAGAGGGAGTAAACTTGTTTTTTTCTGGTGTGTTTTCAATGATGTGACATTTCACTCGAGCCATGAGTGCAAGTGTCTGCAGACCGTCACCGCAGAGCTGCAAGCTTTCTGTGGTTTTAAGCCCTTTCCATAAGTACACCTAAAACACGACTTTAAAAGCTTTCACGACCTGTTGTCCCCTTTCACACCTGCTAATTCACATCAAGCTTGTGGAGATGATCATTATATGTCAATACGGAGAAAAAGCTTTTAATATAGACAAACGACAGACCCAAGACCAGTGGGATAAATCATTTCATCACAATGAGTTCTTTTAGAGAGCTTAAACATACGCAGCAGCGAACATGAAGAATTGTAAAGACTGTCAGCTTTTTCAAAAGGGCTATAATTTGAAATGTTTGCATGATGTGAAATTGTGTGTTATTTCCTTCAAGCCACTTGTTAAGAACCAATCATAACATTGTACAATCAGTGGACTGCCACCACCTGATACAACAGTGTGTTATATTGTTTTCTACATTTCTACACAATGTGAAAAGGGCATAAACGATGGCAGCCCGCCGGACAGACGGACACAATACCGGTACAACCAGATATCAACTTTTTTTATTTCGTCTTTAGATAGAGAAATCTCTTTCAGACATTTTGAATTGAGGCCAGACAATGAAGTACACGTAACAAACACTATTACAATTCTCCATAGAACCAGAACCTGCACATGGGAAACACAGTGGGAGTTCCCTGATGGATAGAAATCATAACTCTATGCCTTGTCAAAGCTATAATGAAAATGTTTCATCCTTTTCCCACTTGAAGGATTAGTATCAAATAATTATCAGCCTACAAACCAATATGTCAAAGCTACCTTGGGGCAAGATCTAAGCTCACTGCCGGTTTGTTTGTGAAGTATAATAATATACACAAACCAGGACTGTCAAAAAACTGTACAAAAGACTACAAATAAACCAATAACAGTAATGGATAGTAAGATTTAAGAGGTGCTGCAATTATTTATGTTTATATTATTTGTTTAATATTACGGTTATTGTTCATTCCAGGGTATCACAACACCTCTAATATGATATATCCAAACACCCAAGGAAGCATAGAGTCACAAAATCGAATTGATAATGATTATTTTTACTTGATTCCCCCCTGGTCAAAGATAGGACCTTTGAAAATATAGCAGTCATTGTTCATAATGCATTAATTCCAGAGTGGATGACTGCATTTCGAAAAGGTCTCTTATTTGCGCATAATTGTAGATTATCAATGAATATTCTGTCTGCTTGTTTGTTTTTTTAGTGGTGTGGATTTCGTGTATTCCCATGACCTGATGGCATGTCCTGCATTGGCCTGGTTTGTAGCTTCCCGCCAGGGGAAGAGCTCACATTTGCTCAAGCTAATCAACAATTAGCAATCCGCTCCACAGATCTTCTGCTGCTAAAGTTGAACTAACTTGATAAAGTCATAAATAGACTGTTCATTGTCTTTGTTAGAAGTGGGGCTGGGCTCTGATTGGTAAATGGTAAAAGGACATTTAGTGCAAAAGTGACCAATCTCATCAAGGTAAAAGCCTTTGTGATGTTCAATAATTCCATTGGAGATAGGTCCAGCCAAGCGTACAACACTAATGGATTTCTTCAAAAGAAGCCTCAACTGTAAAATCTGTTAATTGGGCGTACAATCCTTGCAATAGCACAACAATTTATATTTGTATGAAATGTTAGTGGGTTTATTTCATGAATAAAGCATGTCTTAATGGGGTCTGATAAGAGAGATAATTAAGATCAAGGCTACGACCACAGGGTTTAAACTCCCTGAATAAATGCAACGCATTAAAGGTAAATGACCAATAGCTAGTATCAAATAAGGTGTCACAAGAGAAATTGCAAGTCATTGCAAATAAGGCTTACTGATGCGGCCAGAATTAATTTTACAATAATAACGCAGCATTATTAAAGCACTTATTTTACAATTTTAACTATAGTTTTCAAAATGAAAGCAAAGAAATAATGTACATCTCATATCCCCCATTAAGTCAAATGCATTTTTAAAAAATCTATTTTTTCTCTTCTGTATTTGAGATTTAAAATATTCGTTTTATGATGGAAAATGTTGCACATTATGTTTACATAGGCGGCTCATAGGGAGACAATGAAAAATAATAGTTAATTAAAAAAAATCACTCAGCCTTTCAGTGTAGGGTCAACTGAATAATCTTTCATTAGGAAAGTCCATGGTGATTAACTGCATGATTCTGCAGAGATCGAGTGATTAAAAGTGAATACATTTAAGGAGATGCTTCATTTCATGCTTCTTCAGGCACACATGCAAACTCCCAAAAGTGGGAAATAAATTATAATAATTCCTACAAGAGATCAGTTAAAAAGCCTTGCAAAAATAAATTGTAATATAGGAGCATGTTTCACAAATGCACCAACATGAATTAGTGGGAAGTAATCTGCTGGCCCTAATTACCACAGACAGATTGAGACGAGATTATCCCGCACTCTAATCTGTGTTATGAAATTCCATAGAGGGTTATTTGGCTAAAGCTACTCAGAAGCGTTATTCTGGGGGGGCTCTATGTGCTTTTTAGGGCCAATGAAACGTTAAGCCTTTTGAATGATACTGAGAAAATTAAGAGAAAATATATATGTTTTAAAGATATATTTGCCTGTTATGCCACATCCTCTACTTTTTCATCAATTTTGATGAAACTGTAAACTTCTATTGTAATGTTGTTAGATGTTAAGGTCCAACACAACATAGATACTTAATCAAGACATTCCCGCCACGTTGAGGAACTAAGCCACTGTTTCTGGGCTAATGTCGCAATGTCGTTAACAGATATTTTCCACATGGAGTCAAACTGGTAAAAACTGCCTTGTGCACTACAAGACATGACAGCATTTACAGTGCTGACATAATGCTTGGCTCTGGTAGACAGATACAACTGTAGTCCTTCCAGTCAGGAATCAGACACGTGAAAGTCATCACGGGGCAAAACACAGTCATGAGGGAGAAATTAAACGCTCACTGAGGATCCTAAAGCAGTGCTTCCGTTTAAAACCTGTAATAACTGAGTACGTGAGGCAGCCAGTCACGCTGAACAAAGGCTCTGTGATGAGGAGCTTTGTCTGGGAGCTGTCACTGCAACAGGCCAGCTGAGATAAAAAACACAATGCAGACCCAACTAATTAATAGTGTTGTGCTGGTGAAAATTGGCATTAATGACAGGATATATTATGTATAGTAGGCTACATGCTGAGCTTCTGGAAAATGACACAGCCATTTAGTTTGACAACTGTATGTCTCAATTTAAAATGTAAACTTTATTTTAACCGAGACACACACTTTCCACGCACAGCTTAAGCTTTCAGGGAAATCTACCGTTTGGTCACAGTTTGATGAGAAATTGCTTTTTTTGCAGAGAGGAAGACTGAGCAAACACCAGTGTAAAAACGGGTAAACACCATGGACAGACACAGCCTTTTAACGACTAAATGTTGAATCAGCTATAAATACACAGTAATGTTATAATTGTTTTCCTCTGCCATCTAAACCAATGAGCCTAGAGGTCCACTGCGGTACAGTGATGGACCACATCACTGGGAAAATGCACTGTACCTCAGAGCCTGGGCGAACTGCCTGTTGAATGCACAACAGCCACCGCCAAAACACACACAGAACCAACTCGGTGTGCTGTCTGCCTGTGTGTGTGTGTGTGTGTGTGTGTGTGTGTGTGTGTGTGTGTGTGTGTGTGTGTGTGTGTGTGTGTGTGTGTGTGTGTGTGTGTGTGTGTGTGTGTGTGTGTGTGTGTGTGTGTGTGTGTGGCAGGCCCTCTGGATACAGCTATTTCAATATTTGAAAGCGCAATTATAAATCACAATGTTGGGCAAGTAAATAATTACAGCTGTGAATCAGAGAGGTGAACATGTTCAGGAGCTGCTGCATTTATGAATTAAATGCAACTGCAAAATTGCTTTGGTTCAGTCAGGTGCAGAGCTTAAATCAATTTGTAGTTAACACAAAGCCATGCTTATTACATAACCTAGGTTACCAGGCACTGATTTCCACAAACACTGTGTTGTTGTAACAGTGGGGAGATGGATTTAATGAAGTGTGATCATTAATTGCAGCAGCTTGTGTTAGGAGCCCTATTAACCCCTACAGCCCATGTCAATATGTCAATAAGTGTGTCAATAAACAAAACTCCAACACTCTAATAACATGGATTTACAACAACTCCAGATTAGTATGACAGCAATTTGCTACATGCTTTGCTTTTCTGTCCATCTATTATTGTACACCTTGCAAAAGCATGCTACCTTTTATTTGCAATAGATGCAGATTCCATTAACATCAAAGTAAATTTTGTAAATACATTCAGGTTTTTTCTTATTAAAAATGAATGTGGCATTATATTTTCTTCAGTATCTCTTTTATGAAATGCTGCTCTCAGTGACGTGTGCACAGATGAGGCACCGCTGGAACAGTTATTTTTGATAAAACAGTCAAATAAAATGTTGCATGGTTGTAACACAATATAAAATGACTTACCAGGCATAAAGTGCTGAGAAGTGAGATGAGAAGGAAGTCCAGGTTGTGGAGCAGAGAGGATCCCATCGCTGACCTGAGACAGCTCTACCTCCAAGAGTCCTCGTGGGGTTCACTCACAGAATGATGATGCTCGGATGATATTTGTTATTATGTTTAACTCTCTTCAAAGTGGAGCGAGTTGTATTTCTTCACTCCATCTGGCCTCTCGATGCTTAGGACGGCTTGTGAAATCATAACTCTGTAATCGCCTCGCTCTGCCCTCGATTTAATTTCCTTTAATCTACTATATGCTCAGGCTCAGCCCGTTCTCTTTATTTCTCTGCATCTGTCTTTTTTTTCCTCTTCTGAAATTACATCCACATGTCAGAACTATTTATGTCGCTCTCGCTCTGCGGTGGGAAGTTCAAATGATTCTTTGTAGGGAAGAAACCAACGCTGTATTTTTAGGTCTTTTAAATTTCCTCCCAGACTAATTTAAACACTTCAGTATGGAGCTGTGCGGTTTATGGCTTATTCCAGTCCACTCTTCCAAGTGTTAAATCAGTGTTGGGCACAAACAAGCCCGAAATGTATCACTCCATCACCAGTCGCTGTGGGATTTTACTATTTGATTCTCTCATGTCCCCATCAACGCAGTCACAGAGCCGTCTATCGAGCAGAGAGTCCAGACAGATTTACATTTACCAAGACACACAAATCCTGTCACAGAGCAGAGCGTGACATGACTAACTTTTCATAGATCTGTTGACTTAATTTGCGTAAATCGACTATAGTAACGCACTGTCGCGCTTCACTTTTCTTATTTCTGACTCAAGAAAACCCAACATGGAAATGTGTCATTTCATGTTAACAGGAAACCACGTTTAACTAACACAATTTAGCGTGGCAGTGACACGGGAACTGAATGTATGAAAGTCACACACGGCCACAGTTTACGAATGTTACAACAACAAAAAACTCAGAGAAAGACAGAAACGCCAACTTGGCTTCAAGAAGCTCTACTTACTACACCGAGAAAAGCCAAATTCTCCCTGACGGATTGACAGTTCGTACACGCCTGAGTGTTTCTGAAACACAAAAGTTGAAGTTTCTCGTGTTGGGAAGCGTCTCCAGATGTGGCAGGAGGCAGGTCGTGTTCAGTAGTGAGTATGTGGATGGAAAGGGGAGGGGGGGCGGAGAGGAGGCAGGTAAAGGCTTCTGATTGGTGCGCACTCTCTTACGTTGGAATAAACCACGACTCCGAAATGACATATTTTCTCACCCCTCAAACAAACTCTACATTCAACAGATCGCATGGCCTTTGCCAAACCACTTTTTCCCCCTGCAGTCTCTCAAAAGTTGCATCTAGTAGGATTGGATTACCGAGACATAATGCAGGAGACGTACGTTTTTATCACAGGCTCTATACGGTTCCTTAAGTAATTTTTGAGCATTTAGTTAACACATTTCTGAAGTTTGGAAATTAAACAGTGGACGGTTTGACATGTGTGGAGTTTGTCCACATTTTCAGGGAAGTACAAACATTTAATAAAAACTAATTCATAACATTTTGTTGATCATGAACAGTTGTATTTACTTATTTAATCACATTGGCGTTAATTAATTCTCAAACAGACCCTACTGCTATATGTGTAATAATAAGCAACCAATATGGGCGTGAACATCTGTAAATCAGATATATTTCAGTAACAGGGGACAATTTAGGGCACAACCAGCACTTTGACTTTTTGCTGATAATGTTTTGGTAATTAACTTGGGTAGGAATAAGAATTTAGGACATGAATTATGGAATTTATTTATAGTGCAGCATTAGAAAGTACTGTCAACACTAATCACATTTAAAATGCATGAGAAAATCCACCCCCCTTAAACATGGTGTCTGTTTAAATTCATGTTTACAAGCACTTTCCTAAAATTACATTAAGTTGTGAATTACAATGTTGATAATACAATGTTGAAGCTGTTTAGTGAAAGACAGCTACAAAACAGGAAATTAATGTTTGGATTAGATTATCTGTCTCTCTCCAGTCGGAAATGGTTTGTCCTTTTTTACTCTGCAGGTGTTGTTGAAGGTGACGTTCAAAATGCACCCTTTCTGATTCCAAAGGCTTTTTCTACCTGCTGCTTCGTGGCCAGGGTTTGGTTTCATATCCTCTTCAGACCAACTCAAGTGTCAAGATTCACAGTGTGAGTTTTCTAACGACTTTTTGGAAAACAAAATTGCCTTTTCTCAAACGAGAACACAGAAACTTGCTGTTAATTTATCATGCAGATATTGACAATAACACACTTTTACAGTATTATGCAAAACCAGTGCTTATTCTATCTCTATTAAACTGTAAAAGCTGAGGGAACAATATGTTGTTATGAATGTGTGGTGTCAACAGTGAACCAGCACTTAACTGTGACAAAATGAGTGAAATGTTCCACCTATTAAACCATGCAGGGCCACAGCTATGATATCAGAATAATGCTGTAATTCAGTAATTACCTCACAGGCTCTGCGGTTTGCTACACATCATGACATGCAGCAAACTATGAAACAATTAAAAAAATTGCTGCGAAAGCACTGACACACAGAGATGCACTGCTGCTGTGGACTGAGATTACACATGCATTATCACACGTAGAAAATAATGTTTTAGAAGCAAAGTTATTCTCTGCCATATGCTACTGCGTAGAGCGGTTTGACGCAAAGCAACTGTTAAGGGCAATTTATCCGGATGTGATGTTCCCATGTTGTTGACAATGTCATCATATGACATGAAACCAAATCAAATGTTAACTTGCTCTGTGGCCTGTCTGCCGGATGTGCACTTACATATTAAAAACTAGACCTATGTAGCATGTTCAAGCATATGAACATAAAATAAATATATACACATAAATACATATCTATAGAGAGAGAGAGAAGTGTTGGTCAATTTATTTTGCACTTTAAATATAACAGTAATGTAGGAAATACACCCAAATAGAGGCTGGTGTCTGAACAGATAATGAATGACAAACGGGTAAAACACTGTTTTTCAAACCTCAATACGGCTTGTAACTTAAATGGACTTAAAGTTGAGTGTTATCCTTATGTGCAAACAATAGAGCGCTGCAGGAATGATTCCTAAAACCTCGAAAATAGTTAGCATTTACAAGCCCCGGTGATAAAATAATTGTGGTTAGCACAAAAGGGATTTTTGAAGATTCTGTCTTTTTATTTCATGGCCAAAGCCTAGAAAACAGAGGTTGATAACAATTGAGTATTAACATTACTAAACAAACTTGAATTGGCCTCTAGCTTGGCGTTGGTGATGTGCATCCAACTGTGATGTCGTTCGCTCATAGCCTAACGTTGGCCTTTTCCCCCTTGTAATCGCATTTAGCTGAAGTTTTGCCAAATTCCTTGATTTAATCCAAAATCCAATTGAAAGATCCCATTGCCTTTTGTTTTTGATGCCAACATTCGGACAGGCCTATAACATACTTCATCCATACACTCTATAGCTAGACAAAAGCAACAAAAAATCTCGAAAAAAGTTGATAGAGATTGTTGAGTAATACCAATGTGAGGGAGAAGACCCGTGTCACATCGAGATGGGCTGCAAAAATGTGTCGAAAGCAAACTATTATTCTTAGGACACCTGTCATGTTATTTACAACTGATCGCCCTGCTGCACACACAGCCCCTCTCCAAAGGTATATGTTGTGCTGTTGCGACAGCACTTGTCGATGCAGCTCAGCAGTAGTTCTTAGTTGACCTTCGACATTAGATTTCTTGTCAAAATTGAACCGTTTGGGGGCTTATGTTAGCTAAACTGGTAGACCAGGCATCCCAGTAAGTCTTAGTTCTAACCACACTGGCCTTGACATTTCATCAAAACATAAAGACACATTGAGTGGGAGAAATTGGGGGTCCACAGCACCCAAATGTGTCCTTGGTGTCCAATCTACTGCATAGTTGCTTTGCCTAGTCAGTCAGAAATAGATCAAAAATGTAACCATTCGCTATTTTTTTTATCTCTACTCATGTGAAATGTTAAGTACCTGCTTCACTAACGTTTCCATGATCATGTGTTACAAGTTCAGTGGTGAGAATATGAATACATTAATTTTTTCTTCCTTCCTTCCCTTTTTTGCTTTAACTCTGTGCATTAATCTTCCAGAAGCCATGTTTTTGTCAAATGTAATCAACCTTAATAAGCCAAGGCTCTTTACCCAACAGGAAAAGGTTATTCCTGGGTTCAAAGCCAATGAATAATATGCTGTGAATATACATCTGCTTATTCATCAAGCAGAAAGATTAAACCCTAGTGCATTTCCAACTCAAACTCAAAATACTGCAGCAGAAGTTTAACATACTGTGGCAGAAGTATGCCTAATCTCTTCTTCATTTGCAATCTGTCAGCGTAACACTTTTTTTTATGCAGAAGCTTTACCTTTGAAATATCTTTGGTTATTTTTTTACCACTCTCTGCAGCCACCACCATCATATGTATTATCATATTTCATCCATCTGGAAGGATTAACATTCTCTGTACCTCTGTACGTTTCCTAAGTGCTTTGCAAATGTCACCAATTGCAGGCAACAAAACAGATGAGAGCTTATTAACATGAGAACAAAAACATCTCTGGGGTTGTAAGAGGTGTTCGTTCAATGAGTCATTTGCGATAGCCAAGTATATGAAATGATGGTGTAATTTTCCTAGAAGGAGCTTGGCAAGCTGCCATCAAAGCGTGAGTCCCACTCAAAAGTAAATCCATTTGTAGATTCATTTTTTCATTATTTAAGATCAGTTTAATGATGGGAGTCAGATGCCAATGCGTTCTCAGGTAAGTGAGAAAAGTTTAATCACGAAGGAAGTTCGACACAGGTTTGTACGCCTTAGAGATTGCGAAAAAATTATCAAACATTACAGTACAGTGACATACAATCTGTCTTCCCAAACTATTAACTGGCTTACCATTGGATGTTTTGTTTTTTTACTTGGCCTATGGTCTTCCTCTGATGTTTAATGCACACAATCAGATAAGCTATTGACATATTACTTTTATTTTTGCTTGACAAGTTCCTTTGCAAAAAACCAAGGAATATAAATACCCTAACCATACAAGAATGTAGGAATAGGGACATTGAAACCCTATATCTTTGTGACGCATTTCCCAAAAGCTGTGTTAAAACCCACATATAAATTTAAAGCACATGTATGTTTTGGCCACATGATGGTTTTCATGTGTGATCTTTTCTTTGCACTTCACTGGTTTTAAGAACCACGTATGAATATTTCTATTTATACTTCCAGTTGGATTTTTCTTCCATACAAACATTTATTTAAATGTTCCACCCACATTTTACCAGACAGTCAAAGTCAAACAGAGCCTATAGCTTTAATGAATATGAAATAAAAAACAGATAACAAGTGGTCGAATATTAATAGATATGGATAGGCTACATAGAATAACAAAATATCTTAACTTTATTCAGAATTTAAATCAAACACTACAAATATGTTTCATTTAAAGACAAACCACCAATTAATAGGATAGAAAACAGGTGTAATGATCGCAGGCAGTCCTGCCTCCTCTGGCAAGCTGGGTGTAATCACCCTAATTACAGAGCCCAGTGCTGCATCCTCAAGGAGGGTTTAAATAGTAGCTGTGTGCGATCCTAGTAGACGGAAGCGGGTGACGGGAGGCACCTCAGTCAGGACAGGCAGCCGGTAAGAACATCCATCATGCTATGAGAGCTCCGCAGAGCCGCTGGCGAATGTTCTGTTGAATTGTTTGCGTGTATACACGTGTCTTGTTAGAGCGCGAGCGGCGCTGCGCAGCATTGTTTGTGTGGTTTAAATGTGCTGCGTTAATGGTGCGGCACAGTCAGAGTTTAGACGCACTGTTTATTTAGCTTAGAAGGAAGCTTTCTTGTTTAGAAGTAGTAAATGTCTTATAAAGAATCCATTTGATTTAGAAGCGTAAATAGTAAAGTCTTATTTTATTCATTGAATACCTCTGAAAGAAGGGGAAATAATAGTTTCTAGTTTAAAAATAATAATTAACTTGATTTGTCAACATTTCCAGAAAAGTCAAGTTAAAAGAGTCCGCTTTATTTACA